AAATAGGATATCTTATTTCATGAAAAATAAAAATAATCAAATACACAGATTCTGAAGAGAAGGGGAATGAAAAGAGGGTTGCTTAAAAATAAGGAGATAGATGAAATATAATGGCCACATTAAAAGATGTAACACTTTTTTTTAAACCTAACTAGGGCAAGACAGCAAAAGGTAAGCAGTGATACACATCGCTGAGCAATATTAAAACATGTACGAAGAGCAGTCAGAGAAAATTAACAACCAAGTCGAGAGACAGATAGTGTTGGAGATCGACAGCAGCCAACCTTCTTTGTGGAAACGACACTTGATTTCCGGGAGGTACCAGGGGCTTCAAGAAGACAACAACTACATGGAACTGTGAGGAGAAAGGCCGGACAGTGATGGACTAGACTCAACACACGGTATCTCAAGAACCGCACAGACCTGAACGCAATGGCCGGGGGAATATGTTGTTAGCCACATGTGAGTGGTTCAATCCGGCCCGGTTCAGATAGCAGGTTATTATGTGACAGCCGAGGGCTGCACAATTACTGCAGTGTAACTGAACAGGGTTTATTGAATTTGTAGTTGTGTGATTCTCATCCTTCAGATGTTAACACCGTAGATTGTAATCCTGGAGGAAACAAAACTGTTCTCCTACCCTGTGTAACGAATACACAGCACAACAGGATGACGAAGACGATGAAAGATAATGAACATGTTGTACAGTACAAGAGCACACTCTATTACATAATTATCAAATACCTTGTCAACTGACGTGGGCAATCATGCCTTTCCACAATCCGCGATCGGCAGCTGCATACATCAAGTGACAACTCATTACAATGCCCTGACAAAAGGCTGTCAAGTATCTTCTCGTGCTGTCTTCCCCTGTCTCTCTTTCCACAGATCTTTCCAGCGGTCGCAAAGTGTTCCAATTGTCTCATAGCATGATCAAATAAATATGACTGCTTCTTTCTGATGTTTGTGATTAGCTGTCTTCCAGCTCACGCCTCTTTTAAAACATCTGGATTGTTCTTTTATGCTATCCAAGGATTCTTTTGTAAAAACAGAAGACAGACCCCTGAGCACATACTGCAGTACTGCCCTTACCTCTCCCAGCAAAGACTGTGGATCTGACCCAGGGGATCCACATTGCGAGAGAAGCTATGGGGGACTGGTGGCGACCTTAAACGCACAATCCTATTTTTGACCCAGACGGGACTCAATGTGTAGCATGACTGATGTCGAACGGAGAAGAAGAAGATTTTGTAAAAACCATATCTCCAAGGCTACAGGATATTGTTCGGCTTGTTTACTAATTGTCCAAGACGCACAGCCGTATGTTAAAACTGGTCTGATATCATCATCATCATGTAGCAGGTGCTTTGTAGAACGTCGCTCTCATGACGGTCTGCCTGAAAGAAACTCGGTCTCTCGCCAGCTCTCCCACCTCAAGTACTTTCATACTCAAGGAGACACTTATATCCTGTGCCCATCTTCATTTTAGTCGGCCCCTGCCTCTCCTTCCTGGTAGGATGTCTTCTGCTATAATTTTTTTTCCAATCCGTCGTGGCGCTTGATGACACCAAAATATATCAGCTTCCGAAACAGGATGCTGTTTATTAGCCAATCTTCCTTAATGTTCAGATCTTTCAAGATGCCAGTATTTCTCTTCTTTGTCCAAGATATTCTGAGAATCTTTCTGGAGCATTTCAGCTCAAAAGTCCCTATTCTCTTTCTTAAGTGACTGGGAGATAGTCCATGACTCACATCCGTATGTTGCTACAGGGAAGATGCATGCTCTCAAAATTATTATTTTGATCTCCTTGCTGTTTTAGGGCTGTTTAATCTTAGCATTGCTATGGCCATCCTCCTTTTAATTTATGTCAAACAGTCTCCATTGCTATTTATTATAGAGCCTAGATATTCAGTTTGTGACATTTTCAGGTTCGATATATAGCATACGATAATTCTTTTTTTTTACTAATCTCCAATGACATGGATTTATTGCACAAAATGTTCTTCCTTTTATAAGAGGCAGTTTTGGCCAGTCCTTTTCTGTTCACTTTCTCCGTGATACATCTTCCATCGGATGTTATCCATATGCCTAGATACTAAATTTCTGTACTTGTCCTAAAACAAAGCCTTTACATGCCACATACTGATCGGAAACTTCCAGTGTATATCTCAGTTTATAACACTGGCGCACCGTTAGTGACATGATGCACATCATTTCCAACAATCGCATTCAGATCAATTACACTCCACAATTACAGATGTTTGTCTTAAAGCAGCAAGAATGACACGCAAGTAATTTGTGTTTGGCTTTTCAGTTAAGTGAATTTCTTTTGATTCTTTGCCCGGGAATCAGTTATTCTTTCTCGCGCCATTTTAAATGTTAAAAAAAATTAGCGTTACTAAACTATTATGAGATTTTCATTTACGCATTTCACAAGTCAGAAGCTGTATATCAAACGGACCCCTTTCTACGCCTTCAGGCGTATTGGGCATATAGGGTTAGAACTATTTTTTATAGACCAATCGGCACTCAGTGGATGATGCGGCCACCTTTACTTTCCAGGACTCCACCTGGTACCCATTTAGGGCTATGTCGACGTGGGAGCTAAGGTCATTCTGGAAAAACAAAGTTGCAGACCGCGGTAACCTGAAACCATAACCTTCCGATCCACAGGCGAGTGTCAACATCACGGTAGCTCCCACAAGCTGTAGTACTTAACGGTAATCAACTATTTTCTTTTTCATGGATATGGTTCACATTGTGCGGCGATGGTCGGTATGACTGTTCCATCCTTGGTGCGGCGATGGTCAGTATGACTGTTCCAGCCTTGGTACGGCGATGGTCAGTATGACTGTTCCAGCCTTGGTACGGCGATGGTCAGTATGACTGTTCCATCCTTGGTGCGGCGATGGTCAGTATGACTGTTCCATCCTTGGTGCGGCGATGGTCAGTATGACTGTTCCAGCCTTGGTGCGGCTATGGTCAGTATGACTGTTCCAGCCTTGGTACGGCGATGGTCAGTATGACTGTTCCATCCTTGGTGCGGCGATGGTCAGTATGACTGTTCCATCCTTGGTGCGGCGATGGTCAGTATGACTGTTCCATCCTTGGTGCGGCGATGGTCAGTATGACTGTTCCAGCCTTGGTACGGCGATGGTCAGATGACTGTTCCAGCCTTGGTACGGCGATGGTCAGTATGACTGTTCCATCCTTGGTACGGCGATGGTTAGTATGACTGTTCCAGCCTTGGTACGGCGATGGTCAGTATGACTGTTCCAGCCTTGGTACGGCGATGGTCAGTATGACGGTTCCAGCCTTGGTACGGCGATGGTCAGTATGACTGTTCCAGCCTTGGTGCGGCTATGGTCAGTATGACTGTTCCAGCCTTGGTACGGCGATGGTCAGTATGACTGTTCCATCCTTGGTGCGGCGATGGTCAGTATGACTGTTCCATCCTTGGTGCGGCGATGGTCAGTATGACTGTTCCATCCTTGGTGCGGCGATGGTCAGTATGACTGTTCCATCCTTGGTACGGCGATGGTCAGTATGACTGTTCCATCCTTGGTGCGGCGATGGTCAGTATGACTGTTCCAGCCTTGGTACGGCGATGGTCAGTATGACTGTTCCAGCCTTGGTGCGGCGATGGTCAGTATGACTGTTCCAGCCTTGGTGCGGCGATGGTCAGTATGACGGTTCCATCCTTGGTGCGGCGATGGTCAGTATGACTGTTCCAGCCTTCTGTGTCTGAACTATTCACACATTATTTCTGACACAGAGGAAAACTGTCGTGGTCTAGCGGCTAGACCCACAGCCTCAAGCGCGGAGTCGTGGATTCAAATCCGCATAGGGACGGATTGCTTTTGGAAATGATGTTATGCAAAAAAGGAAGCAGTGAGAGAAAATGTAACACATGCATACGTTGTTTATCGTTCTGCTACTGCAGAAACAAACAATTTATGGAGGATCCTTTTTCTGGGTAGGTATGGGGACAGGTGGTCGTACTGACACGCGTGTCGTCAGGGCAGGGATTGTACACCGGCCGAGGTATTTAGATGAGGTTATCAAACCCCTTGTTATTCTCCAAATGTGAGATCTTTGTGCTGCATGAACCTGTATAAACACAATACACATTGCCATAGGACACACATTTTAAGCAGGCCTTTTGATGGCAATGACAGCATGTGTCTCACTTGGCATTTTCGTTCTTCTGACTCGAATCACATGCCTGGAACGATTCACAGCATTCTCGTTCCACCCAGATACTTGTTGCCGTCCAGGATGTCCCAGGGCTCACTGGATGTCACTGGTCCGAAAGATAACATTGGATACTTCTCCTTGTCTGTGTGTTGTTTGTCTGTCAAGCTGGCAATATTGTCTGCACACATTTGAAGATAGATTTAGCCAATCCTGTTCTCATTTTGATTTGTGCTGTCGTGTGTTATTGCCTGTCCAAGATACGATATAAATCTCGCTTCCAATTGTTAATTATCAGAATTTTTTTTTCGAATACTAATGTTTAAACCATACCCTGTACTCCGCCTGTTGACCTAACCCATCATGACCTCTAGCTCTTGCTCGTAAGATGAATTGTATCTGTCCAGATATGGCACGCAAGTTTTCGTTATTTGAAGGCCCCACCCACGTTGTAGTCGGGGTCTCTAATACAACCTTGCGGTTCAACAGGCTTTCTGGGACTTGTGTCAGTGGGATCCTCATAGCAATGGTGGCACTTTGTGTTACCTGTTGTTGGTTGCTCGTTGCACGGTCCTGGTGTGGTTGAACAACAAAGTCCTGCTCCACTTTCTGCTAGTAACACTGTGTCAGTATCTATGTTTCCACCCTAGATAACTAATAATTCTGATATCCCTTTAGCCTAATCCTCAATGTTGTGGCCTTTCACGTTGCGCACTGTCGATGGCCTTCTGGTAATCTGGCAATGGTTCTGATGTTCGCAGTTGTATGTGTCTTCCGGTGACGACCAAGGAACCAACACTCGAACATGCCCACCTCTAGCCAAGCTTTAGCCTACCTGAAACATGTCACAGATTCTTGTGTTGGTGGGCAGGCCCTGTCAGCTGATTCTACCTCTGCCTGCCATCTGCCGAATGTTTTCCCACAAAGGTATGAAGAGGATACGCATTCTACATCCCATGTTGGGCTACGTGTCCTTGGAGAAGTTTTACAGGTTACCTCACATATTGATTGTACTATTGTTATTACTTCTGCTACTGCTGCTATGAAAACTGATAAATTACTGCTACTATCAAAATTGTGAAACTACTACTGCTACTATCAAAACTGATAAACTAACATCCGCAACTGCTACTTTTTCTGCTGCTGCTATTATTGTATTACTTGTGCTGCTAATATTGATTCAAGTACAACTAGTATTTACATAGTTACTTCTACTACTAATAATACTATTAATATTTCCATTACTACTATTACCACCACTTTTACGTGTTTTACTGCTACTACTGCTGCGTCCACCAACACCACCACCACTTCTACTACTACTACTACTACTACTACTACTACTACTACTACTACTACTACTACTACTACTACTACTACTACTACTACCACTACTACTACTACTACCACTACTACTACTACTACTACTACTACTACTACTACTACTACTACTACTACTACTACTACTACTACTACTACTACTACTACTACTACTACTACTACTACTACTACTACTACTACTACTACTACTACTACTACTACTACTACTACTACTACTACAACCACCACTACTAATACTACCACTATCACCAGTAGCACGGCTGCAGCTGTTGCTACTACTGCCACAACGTCAACAGTACTAATACTACTATTTTCTACGACGACGCCTACTACAACTAACTATTACTACTATTATTTCAATTTTCTTATACCAACACCCCCCCCCCCCCCCACCCCCCCCCCCCCCCCCGCCACAAATAGTAGTACTACTATTGCTACCAAACCACCACCACTACTAGCAGTCTACTGCAGTCATGCAGAGCAAACCACCACCACTACTAGCAGTCTACTTCAGACATGCAGAGCAAACCACCACCACTAGTGGCTGTCTACTACAGACATGCAGAGCAAACCACCACCACTACTAGCAGTCTACTACAGCCATGCAGAGCAAACCACCACCACTACTAGCAGTCTACTACAGACATGCAGAGCAAACCACCATCACTACTAGCAGTCTACTACAGACATGCAGAGCAAACCACCACCACTACTAGCAGTCTACTACAGACATGCAGAGCAAACCACCACCACTGGTGGCTGTCTACTATAGACATGCAGAGCAAACCACCACCACTACTAGCAGTCTACTACAGACATGCAGAGCAAACCACCACCACTACTAGCAGTCTACTACAGACATACAGAGAAAACCACCACCACTACTAGCAGTCTACTACAGACATACAGAGCAAACCACCACCACCACTAGTGGCTGTCTACTACAGACATGCAGAGCAAACCACCACCACTAGTGGCTGTCTACTACAGACATGCAGAGCAAACCACCACCACTACTAGCAGTCTACTACAGACATGCAAAGAAAACCACCACCACTAGCAGTCTACTACAGACATGCAGAGCAAACCACCACCACTAGTGGCTGTCTACTACAGACATGCAGAGCAAACCACCACCACTACTAGCAGTCTACTACAGACATGCAGAGCAAACCACCACCACTACTAGCAGTCTACTACAGACATGCAGAACAAACCACCACCACTACTAGCAGTCTACTACAGACATGCAGAGCAAACCACCACCACTAGTGGCTGTCTACTACAGACATGCAGAGCAAACCACCACCACTACTAGCAGTCTACTACAGACATGCAGAGCAAACCACCACCACTACTAGCAGTCTACTACAGACATGCAGAGCAAACCACCACCACTACTAGCAGTCTACTACAGACATGCAGAGCAAACCACCACCACTACTAGCAGTCTACTACAGACATGCAGAGCAAACCACCACCACTACTAGCAGTCTACTACAGACATGCAGAGCAAACCACCACCACTGGTGGCTGTCTACTACAGACATGCAGAGCAAACCACCACCACTACTAGCAGTCTACTACAGACATGCAGAGCAAACCACCACCACTACTAGCAGTCTACTACAGACATACAGAGCAAACCACCACCACTACTAGCAGTCTACTACAGACATACAGAGCAAACCACCACCACCACTAGTGGCTGTCTACTACAGACATGCAGAGCAAACCACCACCACTAGTGGCTGTCTACTACAGACATGCAGAGCAAACCACCACCACTACTAGCAGTCTACTACAGACATGCAGAGCAAACCACCACTACTACTAGCAGTCTACTACAGACATGCAGAGCAAACCACCACCACTAGTGGCTGTCTACTACAGACATGCAGAGCAAACCACCACCACTACTAGCAGTCTACTACAGACATGCAGAGCAAACCACCACCACTACTGGCAGTCTACTACAGACAAGCAGAGCAAACCACCACCACTACTAGCAGTCTACTACAGACATGCAGAGCAAACCACCACCACTACTGGCAGTCTACTACAGACAAGCAGAGCAAACCACCACCACTACTGGCAGTCTACTACAGACAAGCAGAGCAAACCACCACCACTACTGGCAGTCTACTACAGACATGCAGAGCAAACCACCACCACTACTAGCAGTCTACTACAGTCATGCAGAGCAAACAAAAACAAGCGATAACTAAACAGATGTTGAAAAGTAGTATTTACATAACGATAGGTCTCGGCTTCAACACGCCAATGTAAATATGTGTTAACTGGCTATTAGTACAAGTGTTTTCTAACATACCAACTGCCTAAACGTCAATCCTCGTGAGAGAGTTGGCGCCTCTTGAAAAATTGAGTTGAAATCGATGGAGGAAACATTAAAGACTCAACACACTGGCAGGAATCGTAATGTGCTGCACTGGGTCACCACCTGTTGTACTGGGTCACCACTTGCTGCACTAGGTCACCACCTGTTGTACTGGGTCACCACCTGCTGCACTAGGTCACCACCTGTTGTACTGGGTCACCGCCTGTTGTACTGGGTCACCACCTGCTGCACTAGGTCACCACCTGCTGCACTAGGTCACCGCCTGATGCACTGGGTCACCACCTGATGCACTGGGTCACCACCAGCTGCATTGGGCCACCACCTGATGCACCGGGTCACCGATTGTTGCACTGGGTCACCACCTGATGCACTGGGTCACCACCAGCTGCATTGGGCCACCACCTGATGCACCGGGTCACCGATTGTTGCACTGGGTCACCACCTGATGCACTGTGTCACCGCCTGTTGCACTGTGTCACCGCCTGTTGCACTGTGTCACCGCCTGTTGCACTGTGTCACCGCCTGTTGCACTGTGTCACCGCCTGTTGCACTGTGTCACCGCCTGTTGCACTGTGTCACCGCCTGTTGCACTGTGTCACCGCCTGTTGCACTGGGTCACCACCAGCTGTACTGGGTCACAACTAGCTGTACTGGGTCACCACCTCCTGAACTTGGTTCCTATCTCCTGCACTGGGTCACCATCGGGTTATATCTCAGCATGGCTTGGAAAGGGGACAGAAAATCTGCAACAGTGCCCTGGAGATGACGCCCTGGAGCACAGAACAGTTTCTATAGCAACCTTAGTTAGGCCCATTCCATGTCAGCGCGACCTCAACGAATATATATATATATATATATATATATATATATATATATATATATATCTTATTTGAGAGTTGGGACAAAGGCATCACACTGACTGCACTCGAGGAGCACTGCTGGAAGTGAAAGAGAAGATAGTTTGGCTGGCTCGGAAATAGTGTCAGACGGCTAGCCTATGGACCGTGCCGACATTGTTAGTGCCCACAGAAAGAAAGGGGCGGGGGTGGGGGTGGGGGCATCGGGGAATAAGGATACAGTACAGCCACGTCTCTGCTAAGAATACGAGAATTTAGAATAATGGTCGCCACCGTCATTCATGAGTGATACACCAGTTGTATCGGAAATCTGATCTGCCAGTATAAAACTGTCACTATTAACACCGGGGAGCTGATATATATATATATATATATATATATATATATATATATATATATATATATATATATATATATATATATATACACACACACACACACATATATACACATATATATATATATATATATATATATATATTATATATATATATATATATATATATATATAATTTGAGGGTGTAGTGGCATCTAAGGACGTGTCCGGTGTGCCGAAAGGATGACGCACCGTATAACCCAGAACGCTCACATCAACCAGGCTACGGTCAGCTCCAGTATATAAATCTGAAGCTGGCCGTGACCAGGCACACAAGAGAAACGGTAGACAGTCAACGGAAACGTATTTTATGGCTTTATCTTCTATACAGCAAAGACCCCACGGAAGACCGTACAGGAGTGAACTGGTACTGCCACCTATCAACAATCCAACAACACAGCCTTTGACACTGGTAGCCAGCGATTCCAGGTATGTCTACATCATCGTCATCAAGAGACAAAGTTGATTATCATGCCCCTCCAAAACCCACTTAAATGTATGCTCATACTTACTTCTTCCAGCTCTGCCTCAGTGTTATACACTAATTTGTTTGGGTTTCTTTCTCCTGCACGCTCCCGCTCACTTTCAGTGATGCGCAACTTTTGACCGAGGTTGCCAGATTTAAAAAAAAAAAATCGTTATAAACCAAACCACTACAAAAATTAGACAAGAAAAGCAAGAAAAAATGTAACATACTCACTTCACATCATTAGACTGAATTCCTGACTGTCATCATGACAAGTGGAAGATACAGCATAAACCTTTTCAGCCTTAAATAGAGACAATATACTATTTTTTATTATTATTATGCACTAGCTCTACCCGGCCACGCGTTGCTGTGGCCCAGAATGGTGAAATAGAGAGGAAAGAAAATAGCTCTCAGCTAACAGTGTCTGTCATACGCCCCCCCCCCACCCTCCTCTCCCCTCGACACAGTCATATCTCTCTCTCCGAAGGATTGAAAAATCATCCATGGCGAAATTATTAAAATAGAAATAGTTAAGAAATAAGAACTTTAAAATATTATTTGAAGCTCTCTCTCTGCTAACTGTGTTTGGCATAACCCCACCCCCTTTTTTCCATCGATAATATCTCCCTCTCTGTAGGATTGAAAAATCATCACCTGGCGAAATTATTAAAATATAAATAGTTAAGAAATGAGAACATTAAAATAATATTCTAGGCTCTCTCAGCTAACGGTGTCTGGCATAACCCCTCCCCCCCCCCCCCCCCGCTTCCCCAATCATATCTCCCTCTCCGAAAGATTAAAAAAATCATCACCTGGCGAAGTCATATCTCCCTCTCCGAAGGACTGAAAAATCATCCATGGCGAAATTATTAAAATAGAAAGAGAAAGGAAATGAGAACATTAAAATAATATTCTAGGCTCTCTCAGCTAACGGTGTCTGGCATAACCCCTCCCCCCCCCCCCCCCCCTCCCCCAATCATATCTCCCTCTCCGAAAGATTAAAAAAATCATCACCTGGCGAAGTCATATCTCCCTCTCCGAAGGACTGAAAAATCATCATGGCGAAATTATTAAAATAGAAAGAGAAAGGAAATGAGAACTTTAAAATAATATTCTAGGCTCTCTCAGCTAACTGTGTCTGGCATAACCCCCCCCCCCCCCCCACTCCTTCCTTTTCCCCCAATCATATCATCCTCTCCAAAGGATGGGAAAGTCACCGTGTAACGAAATATAACTAAATTGAGCTTGGCATCCGTGTCCACCCAGACTTAAATAGGTAGCATTAACTTGTACAGAGAAGTAAATGTAGCCAGTGTAACAGCTACCACATCATCCATACAGTACCAGTACTACTGCAACCACTAATACCACCACCATCACAACAACAACAACAAAAACTGTCACTACAGTCTGTGTAGGTCGGTGTAGAAAAGAGGAGTTAGCGCCACATGCTGTCGCCACGGACTATTTGGTTTAATTTTGCCCCCGACATAGAAAAAAAAAAAAAAACAACTTCATCACGTAACCAGTGATTGAACCCACAGTAAAAAGTACATTATACTCACGAATAGCGGAGAAAAATACCCCGCACCCGTCATCTCTCCCTCTCCGAGGGAACGATTTTTAACTGACCTTGGCAACCGTGTCCACCCAAACTAAACTGGACTGTAAGCCCTCTTAGTTAACAGTTTCTGTCATCGCCGAATAGTTTTTGATCGAGAAGCGTCGCGGGGAGGCTAATTAAGACTTACCTGAAATCGGATGTCTGCGAAAGGCGTAGATATCACAGCCTAGCTGCTAACCACAACACAACGTGGCAACTACCCTTTTAAAAATCTTTTAGGACGGCATTATTTCTGGGGTTTGGACAGCATTAATTTTAAGCGGAATTTTTTTTAGTGCAACACAACAAAACTAAAACCTTCCTGAAGAAAAGGAATGGGCTGTTTCGGGACTTATAATATATCAAATTAAAGATAAATGAGTACAGAATAAATATAAACTACTTAAATATCAGTATAACATCAATTAAAATCACAAAACATTCAAGGATGTTAGACACATATGAAAATTTTTGACATAAAAAATTGTGTGCTATCCTTATTATTTACTGGTTCAACAACACTGCTATCCAATTTTAAGAATACACATGCCTTCTCTGTTCAATTATGTATTAGATAGTCTTTATTTGAAACAATTAATTTAACTACTTTGGATATTATAATCATTTTTGTATGACATGTCAATTTTCACAACAACCGAAAATCTGAAAAACAGCTGATTGAAACATTGATCTAATTGAAATATTTTGTAAAATTTTCATATCCTAAACTAAATTATCGCTAGTAGATTTGTCCCTTAGATATCAATCATAATATCAAGACTGTTGTCACCATCTGGCAGTTATTCATCAACGATAGAGCAGTATGGACAGTTCAAGACCTTTTCCCTGATCATTTATTATAGAAAAATCACGTACAAATTGTATTCCATCTAAATATTTTTTTTTTAAATCACGAAATAATGCACCGACCACGATGAACATCGCAAATGAAAGTACATCCTGTTGTTAATCCTAATTGTTAAAAAAACTTGTTCATAAAAGTTCGTTTTCCCTACAAACGGAACAAAATTAGAGTGTCTCTATCATGAGCCAGTAAACTGGCTTTACGTCTTTAAGGGATAGACTTAATCGCCAGTATACTGGCTAAACGCCCGTAAAAAAAGAACAATTATCACCCAACGGGGAATCGAACACCGGTCACCCGCGTGAAGGATGACATACATACAACTATACTACGGAAACTGAAGAGTTTAGGTCAGATATCGCAGCCTAGCTGTAAAGCACAACGTGCCAACGGCCCTATCGAGAGCGAATGAAGATTACCCATGAAATGACCATTGAGCATCACGTCGCTGCTATCGCAGGTAGCTGTAAACCCCAAAACCCAAAAAGGCGTAGATATCGCAACCTAACCATAAACTACAACACAACGTGCCAGTTAAGGGCTAAAAAAATTATATCACCTAGCTGGGAATGGAGCGCGGATCACTCGCATGATAGGCAGAATAGCTACCAACTACGCACCAAACACTCAAGCAGTTCGTGGAAATGAAATAATATAATAATGCAAAGTTCAATAAGAGCTCAGCAGTCAAATATGGCAAATTAACTAAAAACAAATCCAGGCCAGCAACAAAACAAATAATGATTTGACCGTTGCTGGAGCTACGTCGTTCGTGGTTTGTGCGATTTTCTGACAAAAAAATCACGCTTGGAGTTAAAGGCAACGTTGTGTGCAAATATGAAAGCAATCGGTTCAATAGTTTCCGAGTTTTTAGCTAACAACATCGAAAAATTAACATTTTTTTTAAATATAGATGAACATTTAGTTCTATGCAACTATGTTATTGCCGATGTGCGACAATGCGCGATCATTATTTCACCTAGATTTTGAAGGTTTGAACTGGTTTTAGGCTTTAAACAACGGATCAACATCAAGGCTTGTAGCCCATATGGCGTAGGATTTATTTCGCCCTACAATCTGTTTTTTTTTTTAATCCATATTCTCTGTCCACTTGTAAACAGGATGTGAACAATGTATTACAGTTTGGGCCAATTTATCGTAGTCCGCGCCAATGTATCACAGTTTGGGCCAATCTATCGCAGTCTCGGGCCAATATATCACAGTTTGGGCCAATCTATCGCCGTCCCGGCCAATATATTACAATTTGGGCCAATCTAGCGCAGTTTACGCAAATATATAACAGTTTGGGCCAACTATCGCCGTCTCGGCCAATATATCACAGTTTGCGCCAATCTATCCGAGTCTACGCCAATGTATCACAGTTTGGGCCAATCTAGCGCAGTCTGCGCCAATATATGACAGTTGTCGATGTTTTGTAACAGCTAAAAACCAGCAGTAGTTCACACATTTCATCGACGCCTGTGGTTCAGTCATTGCGGCCCCGCTTCGTAATTTCAAGGTGCCCTGTTCGATTACAATTGCACGCGATTTAGCTTTGCGTATTTCTACAATGGTTTCGATAGCTAGCCGTTAAGTGAGCAATGGCAAACTATTAAACGTAAAATGGTCTAATAAAAAAAGAAAGTCAGTTAACAACAACAAAAACAACAAAAACAACATCAAATAGTAGGATTGGTTTTAAATTGTCATGTCTGTGGTATGCGATTAACTTTTCGCGGAATCATCTCATCAATGTTCATCAATTTCCTCTCTCTTTTTGTAATGATTAAGCAATGATGAATATTTTGCTAGCCAGGTTTAAACAGTCAGATTGGGTTTTATCGTTTCAGAAAGGCAACTGAAATAACATGTAACAACAAACATTGCCGACAAAGGCGGAAGGAGAGAAGTAGAGACAGTGAATCCAACACATTTGAGCATTGTAAAAATGTTGGAATCAGCCAAATCAGCGATTCCCAGTTCAGCCAGAACTTGGAAGCTACAAGAGGCTTGCCAAAGAGAACACGTATCAACTCGGACCTGCCGCACAAAACTGGCCATGGAGAACAGGATTTCTTGGCAGGAGCCATACCTACGTCCGCGTGTTCCCAGCAGTCGATGGTGTCCAATACGTCGGACGTGTGGACACAGGGGGACGCATCTCTTTCACAAGATGTCAACGACCCCAACTGTAAAAAACCGTTGATGACCTGCGTTCTTAATCTCAACCTGTGGGATCAGTCATGTGAAACACACTTCGACAACTCTTCGTGCATTGGTAGGTCTTCACCACAGCCACCACCACCACCATCATTATCTTCTTCATCTTCACCATCATCTCATTGCCATCACTATTTTGACCATTCAATCCTCAAAAATCGTCGGAGTTATGACCTATCACCATCGTTGCCATTATAATGAGCATCAGCCACCATCTGCAGATGTTTTGAAAATGACCTTTCAAGGCGAGAGGACGGATTTAATTTCACTGTTTTAACCAGAGTGACTGTCTCTCTCGGAAGACCGTCTGGTCGATCATAGCATTCATCGCGCAAAGGACGAATTTCCACAGCCCTAGGAATCTCCGAAACACTGCACTCTTGAACCAAAGTATGAAGTTAGTTCATCGACAGATTATCCTCACTGCACACCGGACAAGTCCAAAAGTGCCCAGATCCCATCTTCAGTATATCCATCAGAAGCGGCGACTGAAAACACCAGTTATGTGTTGGTTTACTATTCTTCTTTGGCTACCTGTACAGTGTTCATGTTTAGCGATACCTCTTTTGACCTAAAGGCCTTGTAGCCTTTCGAGTATTGCATATTCAACATCGTCTCCTAAATCATCTTCTCAGCCTGCCTCGCTGAGGACATTGCGAATTGTAGAGATGGAAGCTAACTTACAACGTGCTAGCAGAACTGTTTAACTATCCCTTCCATGTTACAATGTTGCTAGCAGAACTGTTTAACGTTTCCTTCCATGTTACAATGGTGCTCGCAGAACTGTTCAACTATCCCTTCCATGTTACAATGTTGTTAGCAGAACTGTTTAACGTTTCTTTCCATGTTACAATGTTGCTAGCAGAACTGTTTAACGTTTCCTTTCATGTTACAATGGTGCTAGTAGAACTGTTTAACTTTCCCTTCCATGTTACAATGGTGCTAGCAGAGCTGTTTAACTTTCCCTTTCATGTTACAATGGTGCTAGCAGAACTGTTTAACTATTCCTTCCATGTTACAATGTTGCTAGCAGAACTGTTCAACTATCCCTTCCATGTTACAATGTTGCTAGCAGAACTGTTCAACTATCCCTTCCATGTTACAATGGTGCTAGCAGAACTGTTCAACTATCCCCTCCATGTTACAATGTTGCTAGCAGAACTGTTTAACTATCCCTTGCATGTTACAATGGTGCTAGCAGAACTGTTCAACTATCCCCTCCATGTTACAATGTTGCTAGCAGAACTGTTTAACTATCCCTTCCATGTTACAATGTTGCTAGCAGAACTGTTTAACTATCCCTTCCATGTTACAATGTTGCTAACCGAACTGTTCAACTATCCCCTCCATGTTACAGTTGTGTTGAAAGAACCATTTGTCTGTCCCCGTGAGGCTTGACCGTACTTTAGCTTGTAAGGTTCTGACCATCTTCACGTTTTTACGACTTTGACCGCTTATGCTAGTGAGACTTCAAGTATGTGAGTCTTTGACCATCTATATTTGTGAGACTTTGACCACCCATGTTTGTGACAGATTTTGACCATCCATGTTTGTGAGAGACTGTGACCATCCATGTTTGTGAGAGATTCTGACCATCCATGTTTGTGAGAGACTGTGACCATCCATGTTTGTGAGAGACTGTGACCATCCATGTTTGTGAGAGACTGTGACCATCCATGTTTGTGAGAGATTTTGGCCATCCATGTTTGTGAGAGATTCTGACCATCCATGTTTGTGAGAGACTGTGACCATCCATGTTTGTGAGAGACTGTGACCATCCATGTTTGTGAGAGACTGTGACCATCCATGTTTTTGAGAGACTGTGACCATCTATGTTTGTGAATGATTTTGACCATCCATGTTTGTGAGAGACTTTGACCATGTATGTTTGTGACACTTTGACCATCATCAAGTTTGTGAGACTATGACCCTCTAAAAGCCTTTCTGACTTTCAATGTCTGTAATATTGTGATTCTTTGATCATCTATATGTTTGTGAGACTTTGATCATCTGTATGTTTGTGTGACTTTGACCATCTTTAAATTTGTGAGACTTTGATCATCTGTATGTTTGTGTGACTTTGACCATCTTTAAATTTGTGAGACTTTGATCATCTGTATGTTTGTGTGACTTTGACCATCTTTAAATTTGTGAGACTTTGACCTGTAGAACCAAGGACACACTTCCGTCTCTTTGAATGTAGGCATTCTCTCCTACAACCATCAGATGGGCAGGCACGAATGGAGCCTGGTTCCTCAGAACTCGCCGATTCCCTTCAGGGCCGTTCGTGGCAGTTACATCAAGAGCAGGAATCCCGTAGAGAGTTCCACATTGTCTGCTTTACCTGACCAGGTGAGTGCAACCTATTACATTTTTTTATCTGAGTGATTACAATTTTCTATCTGAGTACTTACTTCTATCTGAGTACTTACAATTGTCTGTATGAGTACTTACAATTGTCTGTATGAGTACTTACAATTTTTTATCTGAGTACTTACAATTTTCTGTCTGAGTACTTACAATTTTCTGTCTGAGTACTTACAATTTTCTATCTGAGTACTTACAATTGTCTGTATAAGTTCTTACAATTTTCTATCCGAGTACTTACAATTTTTTATCTGAATTCTTACACTTTTCTGAGTGCTGTCAATTTTCTATCTGAGTACTTACAATTTTCTGAGTACTTAAAATTTTCTATCTGAGTACTTACAATTTTCTACTTAAGCACTTACAATCCTCTGTGACCTTATATATATATATATATATTTTTTTTTTAACCAGATTCTACGGTTTATGCTCTGGGGGAATGTGGTTACAATAAGATGTTTCGAACAAGACATTTCCTTACTGCTCTCCTCCCCCCCCCCCCTCTTTTTTTCCTCACAAGAGAAAACCTTAGATAATGAGAAATGTTAACTCCCTGTACGGGTTCCTGGGACTGCGTTAACAAACAAATGTGGGGAGATCTACTTCTTTCTACCAAGCATGTCGTAAATGCGATTAATTGAGGGCTTGATGTGGTAACCTGAAAGGAGCAGATACCCCAGTTTAGTTGTAAACCATAAGGTGCCAAGCCCTTTTTTTAAGGGGAAATAAAAACCAATTTTAAGAAATGTGAAAGATTAACATGTTCGCCTTGGATTTGGTTTTAAAAGACCCAACGGTTGTTGATTATTTGTGTACTTTCTGTGCATCATACAGGTGATGTGAATTTTCTTGAAAAATACATTTGTTGTATCTAGACTACAGAAGAGAAAATTAATTGTAAAACAATGTTAATTGGCGTGTCATAAATGGAGATGTCCCCAAATGAACGTTGCGCCTATAAAACCTTTACCAACATAGAGACGTTAACACGACTACTGAACCGAATGCATGCAAAAGCCATTGCAAAAAAGCGGGTATCAAAAGAAAGCTCACTTCACCAGTCACAGCGGCAAAATCAATGTTCTCTACATTCTAAAAGACTAACAATTCTTAATGTTAGTTTTCAATATGTCTTTGGTCTATAGAGACCTGGTTTAATTGTTCCGAGCTGACCATGCAACAGATTCTGAGTCGCTGGTCAATGATGTGAACATGGCTGAGACGTGGTTTCAACAGAACTGCGAAAGCCGAACAGACATATAACAAAGACGACGAAGACATCTCGAGATAAATCAACTCATCCAGATAGCAAGCCGAGGATGTCGTGAGAAAGGAGACAATTGTAGAATACAGTAGGCAACAGGCAAGTCGTGGAAGCCGCACAGATGTAGATTCATGGAACTTCACTGAGGGCGCTATGGGCGAGTAATATACGTATTGTCTTGAAGGAAAAAAATTTAGGCAATGGGGACAGCCCGCATCCGACAACATTTATCCAGGCACCTTGAGAGAAAAAGTGGAATGTGTCGTAACACTGGAAACTTTGTAGGAAAAGAGTGGTAGGGGAGACCAAGAGAGCCGATGTTATTTTTGTAGCATGACCTGGTGGAAGATCTGTGCTTGCATGATGGGCAGTAGACGAGAAGGGTGGCTGTAGACAGACTTGATGACTACGACACGAAACATAGACTTTGAGAAGACGTGACTCTTTAAACCGGGTAGCTTGAAAAGTATGGCCTCCGAGGACGGTCTTGTGCTAGTATAGGAAACGTAGGCTTGGGAGAACCTTTGTTTAAGGTGTCACTATTTTCTACGTAGTCACCACATCTTTTTCATCAGAAGTAAAGGTAAAGGTCAAGTCGGCAGATGTGAACCAGCCTCATTGCACACGGTTATAAACCATAAGTGCTCTGCCACCAGTACGGACAGCTGATAAGAAACTGTTAACCTGTGTCGCCATCCGCACGTAACTCCGTAGCTACAGCGACGTCCCTCCATTCACCCCAGAGTGTCAATTCTGGTACCCATTACCTAGAGGCTGGGTGAACCCCAGGAACCGCCCAGTTTCGAACACCGACCGTGGCTGCAGGGAGTCGCAGCTGGATTTGAAAGCGAGTCTCCTATCGACTGTGCTAGCGCGGCTTTCGCGACTCATCAGAGGTGTAAATGTTAACTTAGACCTTGGTGAATGGGACAAAGTCACAAGGTTCCAGCCGGGGACTATTTGCTGGATGTACCAACATGTCATCAGTTGAGACGCTCCCATGCAACCATTCTTTGTCCACTCGTGTGTGGGCGAGCATTGCCAAGTTAAAGAGCTGCCTGTTTACTAGAGCGGACACCAGCAATCTTGCTTGTGTCAATCTTCTGGCAGTCCCAAAAAATGGTCACCAAAACATTTCCGGCTGACACGGCAACCTTGAACTTTTTTGGGAAAGGTAAGTTTCTCTGCCTGTATTCTATAGACTGTCGCTTGTTTTCAGTCATAATAATGTATCCATGACTCGTCGCCGGTCTCAGTTCGGCAGATCAAAGTATCGCCTTGCCCTTTATGACGCGTCAGGTGTTGGTGACACCCCTGTCGTCGGCGCTGTTTATTGCCGCTGTCAACATGCCAGGATGACATCTTGCACAAACTGTCCTCCACACAAGCATGACATGAATATAGTGATGTACCGGGTCAGTTGTCGGCTCTGTGGCTAAGTCGATGCGAACGCTTCGTAATGCCGGGATACTTGGTTCGATTCCAGCTGCGGGCCACGCGCCTTGCGATGGTTTCGACATTGGTATCATGAAAGCCGACCGTCCAGAGGCAATGGCAAACTACTGGACGTAAATTTGCCTAGAAAAACCACACAACAGCCAGGGACTGCTGAAAAAGATGGGTCCAAACTCTGGAAACTAGTCAAGTGTCTAAATGGAGAAGCCCAACAAGCCAATCCAATAGTAATAAATGAGGGCAATGAGATCAGATCTGGAAACGATGCTGCAAATATCCTTTTGAATCAGTTTAAATCTGTTAGTGATATTAATATAGAAAAGTCCAGAGAAGATGAGGTAGTACAAAGAATAAAAGAACTCGAGGAGGCCAGCAAGAGTAAACCAGCAGAGAGCATCATGACAGATAAATTCTCAATGAGTGAACTTAACACAGGACTCAACCAGCTGAAATCCAACCAAGCCCCTGGCCCCGATAAAATCACGAATGATATGTTACTACACATGGGTCTAAGTGCCAAAAAGAAATTATTAAACATCTTTAATGCCAGCTGGATTTTTAGTATAGTTCCTCCAGCCTGGAGGAAGTCTGAAATCTTCGTAATCCTGAAACAAGGAAAGCCGAAGAACAACGCAGACAGCTACAGACCCATCAGCCTCACTAGCTGTCTGTGCAAACTATTTGAAAGATTATTGAACAACCGACTGACCTGGTTCCTAGAGAAAAACGTTAAACTAATGGAGGAACAGGCAGGTTTTCGACGTTGTAGATCAACAGAAGACCAAATTACATTTATTGCTCAACACATTGAGGATGCATTCCAGGAAAAAAAGCACACTATTGCAGTCTTGGTGGATATGGAAAAGGCCTTCGACAAAGTGTGGAAAAATGGGCTGAAACAAAAGCTACTTGAAAGTGGAATATCCCATCACATGCTTGGGTGGATCGTAAAATATCTTGAAAATCGATCTGCAAGAGTCAAGATACAGGGTTCAAGGAGCAGATCAGTCTCAATGACACATGGAGTTCCACAAGGCGGAGTTCTGTCCCCAATTCTTTTCCTAGTTTACATTAACGACATAAAATCAACCCTCTGTAATGGAGTTCAAGCCGTTATGTATGCCGATGATCTGGCGCTACTGAGTTCAGAGGAGGACACTGAAAAAGCACAGACAAGGCTTCAAGAATCCCTCAGAACTCTAGAGAGGTAGTCCAATAGCTGGTACATGCCTGTAAATGGGGCCAAAACCACACACACCATTTTCAGTCTCTCTACCAAACCCCAGAAAGTTTCACTTAGATATGGCAGCCAGGCACTGATACATGATGACTCACCGTCATATTTAGGAGTAACCTTTGACTCAAGACTCACATGGAGAAAACAGATAGAAAAGACACAGAGCAAGGGACTCAAGAGAACACAGCTGATGAGGAAGTTAGCTGGAACAGACTGGGGGGCAAACCTCAATGTCCTTAAGAGGACCTATACAGGCTATGTGAGGCCAACACTAGAATATGGAATAGCTGCTTGGGGCACAGCAGCTAAATCAAATTTTCAGAAAGTCTCAAAGATCCAAACCCATGCTCTCCGTATTATGACAGGGTCAATGCGCTCCACGCCCATATCAGATATGGAAACAATTACTGGTCTCCATAATCTGGAAGATAGGAGAGACACAAAGATCCTCACCCAGCTCTCCAAATACCACCACTTTCAAGAACAACCCATGTACAGCCGACTACAGAAACCCCAGAAGGCTAGACTAAAGAGAACTTGCTTTATTAAGAACGCAAATGCCAAGCTCGCTGTCCTTAAACTCCCTCCCATAATACCAAATGTTCCACTTAAACCTTACAACGACTGCCCCGCTTGGCTTAGGGATAGCCTACCAACAGTCAGAACCACTGTAACAGGGGTCTCCTCCAAATTATCAATGAGCAGCACTGATATGAAATCAACTACAGAAGGAGAGATCAATAGACTTTACCCACACCAGAGTTGGATTCGAGTGTATACAGATGGTTCAGCCAAGAGAGCAGTAAGAGACGGAGGAGGAGGAATATACATAGAATGCCCAAATGGTTTAAAAATCAACCATGCTGTACCAACAGGTTCATATTCCTCCAATTACAGAGCAGAGGCAGAAGCACTTCTAACGGCATGTTCTTTCCTGAATGGACAACAGCACAGCAAATATAGCAGAGTGGTCTTTCTGACTGATGCTATGTCAGTTCTACAAGCAATTGTTAACCCAAAAGACACTCA